CTTTTTTCCCTTTCTCCTCTTTTCTCCTTTCTCCTCTCCTTTTCCTTTTTTCCCTTCCTCCTCTTTTCTTCTTTCTCCTCCTCTTTTCCTTTTTTCCTTCCTCCTCTTTTCTCCTTTCTCCTCCCCTTTTCCTTTTTTCTTCCTCCTCCTCTTCCCTCTATTCTGCCTCCCTTTCTCTCTTCCCTCTTCCTCTTTCCTCCTCTTAACTCCTTTTCTCTTCCTCGTCTTCTTCCTCTTCCCCTTTCTCTTCCCTTGGGGTGCAGTCATACTGTCTCCAGGCGTCTCTGTGGGTAGACTCTAGGGGAGAAGCAGGGCGAGCCTGAGGTTACACTGATTCCTTCCTGCTCTTCCCAGGCTGACCCAAGGCCCCCCACCCATACCGCACATCTGCCAGCACCAGCACCACCTGCACACAGTGCAAGGCCTGGCTTCCCGCTCCGGGTCCTGCTGCTCGCGCTGCAGCCAGAGGAAGTGGCCCGAGGTCCTGCTGTCCCCCGAGGCTGCCGCGGCCTCCACTCCCACACCCAGCGCATTGCCACCCCGAGGTGGCGGTAGCAAGCCCACTCCCAAGGGGAGCCGCCCAGGGGAGATCACCATCCTCTCTGTGGGCAGGTAAGTCCAGGGCCCTTTGGGGAAGGGGGCAGGGAGTTCTGAGAGGAAGAGGCATCACTGGTGCTAGGGGAGACTTTGGACACAGGCCATGTGGGGCAGAAGAAAGAACTTTGACTCCGGAGGCATTCAAAACTTGCCTTTTGAGCTTACTTGTATGACTTAAGGCACTTAGACGCCCTGTGCCTCAGTGTCATCATCTGCACAATGGGAACAATAATAGTACTTCTCTGAGAGGGTTGCAGGGAGGCCAAATGACTACATAAATGTGGGCTATTATAATGAGGAGGCTGGACCAGCCAGGCTCTGAAGCCCCTTACAGCTCAGGGTCTGTGATCCTGTATACTCAGGGCGGGGGCTTTAGTAGGCATGGGCACAGGGGACATGGGGATTGAAGGTGGAAGGCAGGGCCGTGGCTGCTGACTAACAGGTCGGAGTCCAGTGTCTGCTACCTGGTTTCCCTTGGACAAGTCATTTCCCCTTGGTGAAATGAGGTGATTGGACTAGAGAGTTTGTGAGGTCCCTTTCAGCTCTCACAGATACCATGACTATAAGGAGGGTCAAGATTAAGTAGGAAGGGGCTCCTACACCTATGCCTCCTATAGGGAGGTCATCCTGATTTCACTAATTTGCTACCTCCCAAAATTAGCCTGAATTTACTCATCTGTTGAAATACGAGGGGCAGCTAGGTGGTACAGTGGATAGAGCACTGGCCCTGGAGTCGGGAGTTCAGATTTACTAGCTGTGTGACCCTGGGCAAGTCACTTAACCCCAACTGCCTCCAAAAACAAAAAAAAAAAAAAGAGAGAGAGAGACTAAAGAGGAAAGAAATCAGGGGCAAGTCAGCTAGGAGGAGTGAAAGAACCTGAGATCAGGCAGAGTGAAGTAGAGTGAGATGTGGAAGGACAGAAGCCTGGGGTTCGAGGCAGCCCTTGGCACAGCTTGGATGTAGGGGCAGAACCCATGGAATTCACCTCTGCAGTTCGGCCAGGAACTGTCTCTCTGGTCCATCCTCTGTGCCTCAGGCCAATCTGTTTCTCTCTGCAAGGCAGGCTCTTCACCGTCCTCAGCCTGGGGCTCCCTTGGGACATCGGGGAGACTCCCCCTTGCTCTGCTCCTTCCCCCCTACCTCTCTGTCCTCAGGCTAAACCGCTTGCCCCCTTTGTACCTCAGAGCCCCAGGGTGCTCCACTGTAAAAGGAGATTGGTCCAGATCGGCGGTGCTCAGAGGATGTGACTTACAGAGACTTACAGTCTCATGTGCCTGCATGATTCTCCTGCGCCTTGGATGGCAGTTTGTTTGCGGTCGCACATGTGTGCGTGAATCTCCCAACTCTTCCACAGCATGCTTTGATTACTCAAGCAAATACCAACAAAGCAACTCACTCTGCCCCTGCCCCTGCCCCCCACCCCCTTCACCAGGAGCAGCTTTCTTTCCAAAGCCTGGCATGGCAAATGGTGATTGCGGAGAGAATGGAGAGGAAGGTGGTTTCCTCCCTTTGCAGCCACTGGGATTTTCTTCCCAGAGGTGCCTGAGTTGTTTGGCCGGCTTGTGCAGTCTAATAGCAAGGCCTTCTCTTGGCCTAACCCTTCCGAGTTTGCTTCAAGCCCCAGAGAGCCAGTTTCGGCCGGAGATGAGGGCTGGGACATTGAAGTTTGTAAACCAGGGAGGAAGAATGGAGACTTAGAGTTTTGGAAGAATGCTTGAGTCCCAAACTGGTGGTGCTGGTTCTTTTTTGGTGGTGGTGGTGGTTTGTTTTTTTTTAATTAGAGCATTATATTAAAAAAAATCTACAGAAGGGGGTTTTGTTGATAAGAGTGGGGGTTAGTGAGCTGGAATGAGCACTGGATGTAAAGTCCAAGAGCTAGAATTCTTTCTAAACTTGGCTTTGCTCTTTACTAGCTAGCTGTGTGGCCTTGGAGAGCCCCTTCAATTCAGGAGGCAGCTGTGAAGCACCTACTATATGCTAGGCATAAGGGATACAGAGATGAAAATGAAAGAATAAAAAAAAAGTCTGTGCCTTGAATAACCTTCAAGGGAGATACAATTTCCCCTTCCACTGGGGGGTGGGGGGGAGGGCACAGTATTTTTTTTTTTTTTTTTGGAAAGACAATCAAATTTAAGTGACTTGTCCAAGGTCACAAAGCTAATAAGTATCAAGTATCTGAGGTCACATTTGAATTCAGGTCCTCCTGACTTCAGGGCCGGTGCTCTGTTCAGTGTACCACCTACCTGCCCTGGGAGATAGTATTTCAATAGATGAGTAAAGTCAGGATAATTTTGGGAGGTAGCAAATTAGTGAAATCAGGATGACCTCCCTGTAGGAGGTGGTGCCCAAGCTGAGCCTTGAAGAAAGCTAAGGAAGGTGAGGGGAAGAAGGGAAGGTGAGTAGTCCATTCCAGGGATGAGGAAGCATCCAGCACCAACATCCAGAGAGAGAGGGAATGCTGAATAGGGTCAGGATAAGAAGGCCAATCTAGCTAGAGCATAGACCAGCCACATCAAAGGTAGTAATGCAAAATAAGGCTAGTAAAGTAGGGTAAAGCCAACTTTGTGCAGTTGATAGAGTTTGCATTTTATCCTGAAAGAAGTAGGGAACCAGTGTGGACTCTGGAACAGAAAAAATAACACGGTCAGATCTGTCCTTCAGGAAGATTGCTTTGACAGCTGTGTAGGAGGATGGACTGGAGAGGAGAAAGACTAAAGGCAGGGACTAGGGGTAGTGCAGTGTCCCACGTGAGGCAATGAGGCCTGAACGAGGGTGGTGTCTTTGTGAGTAGAGAGAAGGGGACGGAAACGAGAGATGTTGGGGAAGCAGAAATGGCAAGACGGTATGTGGGGCGAGGGAGAAAGAGGCCCTGGGAGTCAGGGACATGAGTGAGGGGCGCTGGGGGGGCAGTGTAGAAGTTCCATCTTGGACGTGTTGAGTCTGAGAGGCCAGCGGGACATCCAGGTGGAGATGTCTGTGATTTGGGACTGGAGCATAGGAGAGACTAGGTGCGAGTGTATATAAGTCCGGGTCTGGCCACCGGCATCGAGATGATAGTTGAACCCGAAGGAACTGTAATTCCAGCCCCCTCATTCTATAGATGAGGAAGCTGAGGAACAGAAAGGATAAGTGACTTGTTTAGGAGGTCACACAGCCAGTAAGTGGCTGAGTGGCTATTCAAACCAAAGTCTTTCTGACTGCAAGTCCAGCGTTGATGGGGATGCCCATTTCCAGATCCCACATCTCTTTCCTTCTCTCCTCCTTGCCCTGTGTCCATGCACTCCTCCAGATTCTGAGAGTCTATTCTCTTGGGTTTTCCCCAATGGAGGAGAAAATACAGAGATTCACAAGTAACACCCTAAGGGAAGGAAGCTCCTCGGGCACACAGGTGCATTAATATGTCCTGAACTAGCAGGCCTCTAAACCTCTAACCTCATCCTGAACTTCAGATCCCCACACCCAGCCTGCACCAGCTGGATCCTGCTCAGACCCAGGCAGCCATCGGCTTTTCATCTTGGCCCCAGATGAGACTGGCGAAAGAGACAAGCAGCTGGCAGAGCGACCAGTGAGGGCTGGCTCCACTGGCAGCAGTTCGGGGTGGGGGAGCGGGAGACAAGGTTTATTGCTGTTATCCATGCATTTGACCCTGTGGGTGAATCTTCAGGTTCCTGGCGTCTCTCCTCCCCCAGTACCGCTTTTCTAGGAGCATAAATCCAAAGCCGGAAAAATACCTAAGAGGTCATCCATGTACCTGAGAGGTCATCTACTCCAACTCTTTTGATTTATAGATAAGGAAACTGAGGCTCAGAGGATAAGAGGGTTGACCAAGGTCACATAGGAACAGAGCAGGTCCAGTGATAGCAAGTTGAGCCTTTTTTCTGCTAGACCATGTTTTTATCTCCCCATCACTCTAATCCAGGAAAGGGCTGCACTTGAGGACCTAGGGGGCCACAGGTTCCCCATCCCTGCTCTAATCCTACCCCTTTCATGTGTCTCTGGTCTCTTTCCTCCAGGTTCCGTGTGGCCCGAATCCCTGAGCAGCGGCCGAGCCCGCCACCTCCGGAGGTGAAAACCATCTCAGAAACCAGTGAGGAGGGAGAGGCGGCTGAAGCTCCTCCACCCGGGCTTCCCCCTGAAAACCGAGCCCTTCTGGGCAGTGGTGGAGGGCGACCCAAATGGCTGAAAACCCCAGCATCTGGGCCAACAGAGAGCAAATCAGAGGTGAGCTGTGTGATAAGAGTGTGGGGCATGGTGTGTGTGGGTGTGGGTGTTGAGGGAGAGGAGGGGGTGCTCCATAGGACCAGGTCCCCGAGAGCAGCCACCCACAGCTTAGTCAGGGGGCAAGCATGTTGAAAAGGGAGCTTTGGTCCCCTAGGGCTTCCCAGAGTACCCAGCTCCCAATAGCCCTACACGTCTCTCTGCCTGTGGTTTCCTAGCTCATTCCTTACTTCCTACTGACTCCCAGGGGAGGTATGTCTATCTTTCTGTGAATTGGGCCCAGATTGAAGTTAGACGGGCCCATCACTTCCTGCAGTCACACAAAGAACATTATTAAGTACTTGCTGCGTGTGATCTTAGAAGAGGCAGGTTTTAACCGCCCTGAGACTCTGTAAAACGAGGGTATTGGATTACAGAAATGACTCCTTGTGCTCAGTCCCAGGCAATACAAAGTAAGGAATGAAACAGTTCCTGCCCACAAGTAGTGTGCACACTTTGGGGACCAGCCTGCATCTGATCTTTGTTACAACTTCTTCCCCAGGAAAATCGATACGTGGTCAGGCTGAGTGAATCCAACTTGGTCATCTGAAGGTAAAGTAGCACTGGGAGAGTCCCTGCACTGAAGGGGAGACAGCCTGCCCTTGGGGAGTCCACAGTCTGGAAGTACACAATGTAGCCTGTTTTTAGAAACAGAAGAGTGGGGGCCTTCAGAGAGGGGATATCACTGCAGGCAGAAGTTAGCAGGAAAGGCTTCCTGGAAGTGGGGGAGGGGGGAGACCTGGGCCAGAGGAAAGCATTTCCAGGGAGAGGTGGAGGGGTGGGGGTGAGTGAGTGCTGCTGGCTTCTGAGCCTGTCTGCAGGGTATGGATGGGGTAGGGATTCTGTGTTCTAAGTGCTGGCAGGCTAAGGGACCCACCAGGGGCTCCTGGGATGCCTGAGAGCATGCCTTAGTCCTCTCCCTCTCTTCTCACAGGTGCCCTTATGATCCGCTCAGGCCCAGGGCCCTGTGAGACATTGGAGCCTGGGAGTTGGCAGCAACCTGAGGCCCCAGGGGGCTGTCCCCCAGGCCCCTGCGCCCTGGGCAGCCCCAGTGAGCTCTGGGAAGTGGGCAGCAGCAGGGGAGAGAGCTCACTTCAGCCTGAGCTACCACAGGCAGCTTAATTTAAAGGAAAAGATGATCTTGTCCAGGGAAGAGAGGGAGGGATATGCCCATACTTGAGGAGGAGTGGGCTGCCCTGTCTCCTTGCCCTTCCCCTCTGCGCCTCTCCCCACCCCCTCCCATCCCGCATCTTCTCCATGCTAGCAGCAAGCCCCTCCCTGGTCATCTGGTCTTTCCCTTGCTCTGGAGAGGACACCCAAACCAGCTTCCTGGGTCCTCAAAGATGGCGTGATCCACACCCAAGTGGGGATTTCCTCCCCAGTGCTTCACAGATGGGACATTTAGCCCCCAAGTAAGGGTCCCTTCCCTGGTGACCCATAGACAGGACACACCCATCTGTCCATCCATCCCCATGCAGGGCTTTCCAGGAAAAGCAAAGGACTCAGCCTCCTCTTCATCGCCCCTACTCTTCATCTTATCACTCCTGGGCAGGGGAAGTGGCAGTCAGGGAATACTGGGGGAAGAACAAATGGTGGGGGTCTACTGTCAACAGAATGTCCAGTCACTGGGTAAGTGGAAAGACGGGCCCAGAGAGAAGAAACCTTCCAGAGGGTCTCCTGACTTCCAGGCCAAAGGCCCTTTCCATTGCCCTACAGTCATTGGGAAGGAAGTCTTACCCACCACATCACCTCTTCCCTCCCCCATCCCCCCACTCCCTAGCACTGGGTCTTACTCTCCAAGATGGGGCTTGTCCATGGGGTTTAGATGGGAGATCTGAGGGGAAGGGACTTAACACTTGGGCTCAAATCCCAAGCTTTGCTCCTTTACCTCTCTGTGCCTATCAAATGAGAGGTTTCTTCCAGTTCTAAGTCTCTGATCCCACGACCACCCCTGGCCATGGGGCTTCCTGTCAAGTCTAATTTAGTCCCTGAGGCTGCTGGGAGGGAAGACAGCGACAGAGCAGGAAGGAAATCTCAGGGGACCTGGGTCCTGGGTCTGGCTTTGCCTCCCTTAATTTGTGTGGGCCTGTTTACTCCTGCAAAATGAAGGGCTGGACTTGGTGGTTTTTAAAAAGGTCCCCTCCAGCTCTGACATTCTGAACCTGACTTGCTTTATGTCCTTGTCAGACATTTTACCTCTGAGCTCCCGTTAACCAACCCCTGCTCTGCTCACTGAGCCACAATCCCCCACCTATATCTGGAAAGGAAAAAAATGTGACTTGGGGTGATGCTTGAGAGGTTTCCCCTGCATTTCCTTGGGAAGAGGACCCCGCATTGTTCCCAGTAGGACCCACAATCTCCCCTCCCCCACCCCAGTGGAGCAGGCAGATGCTTGCTTCTCTCTGCTTGGGGGCAGGGGGCAGTTGGGGATATATCTCAGCTCCCTCCTCTTCCTTCACCTCAAGCTGGATCAATAGCTTTATTAGATTCCCCAGCTAGCTGCTCTTCCCCTTACCCCCCACCATCCCAAGCCAGGGCCTTGCTTCTGCACGAGGAAGGGGGGTGCCTTAATGCATGTCAAGCAGCCCCCTCCACCCTGCCCCCCAGGGGTGAATGGCTGTTTTTAAATTTAAAAACCAAACTTGTTCTGTGTTGTCAACTGTAGTTTGGGGGCCTCTGTCCTACCATGTACCATTTTCTCCTCCCGTCCCCTAAAAAAAGTGCTTTAGAATCCCCATGGCTCAAAGCCCTGGCCAGTGCAATAGTAAGGGACGATGTGGGCTCTAGGTGCTGACCACCCCAGTTATGACACCCCTGGCTATGCCTTGTCGACTTTCCCTGGGCCCCTGACTTGCTTTTCTTTCCGTCCACTTTGCTCTGTTGTGTTCTCTATGTTTGCTCCCAGGAGAGAAGTATGGGTGGTTCAGGCAATGTCTGGTGCCCATCCGTCCTGTCTATTTATGTGGGTGCTGTGCAGGTCACACCCCCCGCTGTTACCTCCCCTCCCCTGGTGGGGGGTTGGGCCCTGAAGTTTGGTAACTCTTATTTATTGAATTTGAGTCATTACTCTGTCTCCTGTCTATACCCATCTTATGCATACTCGTCCCCAGTTTCCTTAAGTTGGATAATAAAAATATTAGAAAGTGATGCTGCGTGGAGAAGTCTTTGTCATACCCAGGGGTCTCTGATAGTCCTCTACATTCTCTCTGGGTCACAATTGCACACGGAGGCATTCAGGCCCCTGTTCCCCTCCCCCACATGATCCACTATGTGGGCGGGGGGGCACAGGGAGATACCTACACAAAGAATGTGTACTGGAATCCCCCTTTACAGCCTCTGACATAGGAGAAGATTGGGGCCACATGGCCCATGGCGTGGGGGCTAGGGAAATACCCACATAAAGAATGTGTCTAGGAATTCCCCTTTACAAGAACAGGACAGGTCAACCAGTCTGTGTGGATGCTCTTCACCCCATGGGCCCAGATCTTGGCACAGTGGATAGAGTTCCAGGCCTGAAGTCAAGAACACTAATTTTTGTGAGTTCGAATCTGGCCTCAGACACTTACTAGCTGTATGACGCTGGGCAAGTCACTTAACCCTGTTTGCCTCAGTTTCCTCAAGAACGAGATGGCAAACCACTCCAGTATCTTTGCCAAGAAAACCCCAAATGGGATCTCGAAGTCAGATGTGACTGAAACAACTGAACAACAGCGGCTAACTACCACTATAATGAAACAAGGATTAATTTTAAATAGTACACATAATAAAAAGTACACATTAAAATGCAGAATTGCACCTTTAGTGTTTAAACATGATGGGGGAAGTGAGGACAGGACTTTTCATAAGTTGACTAGAAGCTCTAAAGCTGCTAGAAAGATTCTGGCCTTTAGAAAGTATTCTAAGCAGCCAATTATCACGTCAATGGTAGTAATGATTTGGATAGCTTCCAGAGCAAAAGGGTAAAGCAGGGGGTGGGAAGCAAGATGTCTGGGTACATGGATGCCAGGCATGGATATTAAACAAGTTATGTGATTGGGAATCATGAAGTACTTCTAAAAAGAGGTAGAAGGAATAACTCCTCATGTATGGATTGGACTGAATAACTGCCAAGTGCTTCCCGGCTCAGAAAATGTAAAGTTTTAGGAGAAGTAATAGGCCTCATTTGGGATAGCTTCCGAACCCAAGGAACTGAGAACGTTTGGCCTGGAAAAAATGGGGGAGATAAGGGTGGGAGAAAGAGGACTAATGGGGGACGTTACAGGAGCAGATTTTTACTTGCTGTAAATAGACTTCCTAGCAATGAAAGATATTCCCTAATGGAGCAGGACATCTCCAGATGTGAGCCACAGGTTTTCAAGCAAGAGATTAGATAATGCCTATTAGGGAGGATGTCTTTGCTGGAGGTTGGAGGCACTGCCCAAGAGGACCTTTCAGGACTTGAGAGTCTTCTTTGACCTAGGAAGAAGGAAAGGCTAGGGCTAAAGACCAGGCACTGTATGTTTGGGTGGTCACACTTCAATGTTGGCCTGAAAACACCCCACGCAGTCTGAGGAGCAGCTTCCTGTCCCTACCTGAAGGGATGCCCACAGGGGCTATGGCTTCCACAGCTGGACTTGATGGAGAACTTCCTGAGGGCTGCTAGATCAGGCTGGTGGGTCTCCATCCTCTTCCTCCGAAGAGCTAGACTCCGGACCTCTTCCCTAGGCCTGCTGTGCCCACCAGTCAGCACCAGTCAGGGAACAAGAAGCCCAGGTATATGTTGAGGAGGGTAGGTATAAGGCTCAAGTTTAAGCTGTTCACTGCATAGGTGCCTGGGGCAGTGAGGATGGGAAGGGGGGGACTATATTTTGGGGAAGGAATGATGTATATGAGACTATTTAGTTAGCAATTTAAGGTTTGCAAAACACCTTTGTGAATGAAATTATCTTACTTGTTCCTTACAACCACCTTGGGAGGTAGGAGCTAGAGTTACCTCAATTTTACAGATGTGAAGGCTGAGGCTCAGAGGTGAAATGGCTTCATTGGATATACACAGCTAGTAACTGGTAGAGGCAGGAGTCAACCCCAGATGTCTCCAGACTTCTGAGTCTAGCACTTTCCATTACACTAACCACATTTTATAAAGGCATGACTATCTGAGTCAATGAGTGTGTGTGACTGTACAAATGGGTATAGTATTTCAGCTGACCTAGAGGGAGTACAATAGCTGATGGAAGGGCTGTCACACAGAAGAGGGATTTAACTTGTTTTGTTAGCAACTAGAAACGAGAGGGACAAGTTAAAGATGGATTGATTTCTGCAAAAACTTCTTACCTTCAAGGTGTCCTTAGAGGTCATCTGGTGCAACACCCTCATTTTACAGCAGAAGCTCAGAGAAGTGAGGGTGGTCACATACTGCCTGTGGGACTTGTCCAAAGTCCCAAAAGAGCTGGGACTCCAACCTGGGCCACTTAGCTCTAAAGTTAGTGTTCAAGTTCCCACAGTACATCACACCATGCCAGTCTGCCTGTTCATTATCCCCAATGCAAGGATGCTTAGGTACATCGGGAGGGGGGGAGAGAGAGAGAGAGAGGAGAGAGAGAGACAGAGAGAGAGAGACAGA